TCCAGACTTCCTTTTCTTTTTTTTTGGCTCTGAGAAATCGAACTTGAAATGTGAAATTCGGATATCGTGGTGGATCTGACAGGAACGCTTCCGCGTCTGTCGGATGGCCTTTTAGAGGCATCATGAGATACATGGTGATGAATGTATCCCCATACCCATTACTTGTTCATCCTCGTGGCTGTGTTTGTGGACACATTTTATTGCCATGGTTCATCACTACGAAGACTTAGGTGAAGGAGATTGTACCAACCCATGAATTCGGGTGCACAGCTGTTCTTCATACTTTTATGTGCTATTTCAATTCATTTTAAATCAGAAAACGATCCATTTACTTTTTTGGAAAGCATGAATGGACATAGGGAGGGTACTCTGGACCCTGCTGCTAGACTAGGAACTGTCTGCAAAGATATATCAATAGACATGGTGGCCGGTTTCACTTGAATGGGACGCTGAACCCGTTTTTCAGCAGTTACTTTCCCGGGTTGAAGTGTGAGGTCCCCGGTCTCTCCCATGTTTTTTGCAATAAATGAGACTCCTTTCCACACACACACAAAAAAAGAAAAAAACCATAAAATTGCGTCACACATCGTAAACTACTTCCCTGTGGGCCTGGACCCACTAGCCAAATATTCTACGATGTGTGACGCAATTTTATGGGTTTTTTGGAAAATACAAAGTGATTTTTTATTTGCATGAATGGATCGTTTTCTAATTTAAAATGAATTGAAATAGCACATAAAAGTATGAAGAACAGCTGTGCACCCGAATTCATGGGTTGGTATGATCTCCTTCACGTAAGTCTTCAGAGTGATGTACCGTGACAATAAAATGTGTCCACTAACACAGCCACAAGGATGAACAAGTAATGGCTATAGGGATACATTCATCCCCATGTATCTCATGATGCCTCTAACAGGCCATCCGACAGACGCGGAAGCGTTCCTGTCAGATCCACCACGATATCCGAATTTCACATTTCAAGTTCGATTTCTCAGAGCCCCCCAAAAAAAAAACGAAGTCTGGAGATCAACCCCCCCCCTTCAGAGCCCATAAAATCCAGACTTCCCGCCCACGCAAAGCCACCAGCTATCATGTCCAACTTTGTTGGGTTCTTTTTTTCGACGCATCTCATTGGACGGGCGGTGGTCATCTTTACAGTCCCCGCTGGAAACTACCAGGCCGTCAAGATCCGATGATTCTACGGCCGTACTGTGTCACTCGAGGCCACACGTGATCGAAATCCTGAAAGAAGTGGTAGAGTACTTCGCTCATGGGTCCAGGCCCCAGGCCCCATAGTTAAGGAGAGGAGGAGGGGAACAAAGATCTCCTTACTTTTTTGGGTAATTCATGTAAAATACTGGCCGTGGGATCACGAGTACTGCAGGGCAGGATTTGGGTCACGCAACTGCGCCACAAACTCGTTTTCTATCCTATCCCATTGCAAGTGGGACCTTGCCCCTGGGGTCTGGTCCCACATAAGGTTGTTGAGTTTAGAAAACTCAACGGTGTGACGCCATTTCGACATTAATAAATTCGAAACAAGAAATAAAAAACCTGAAAAAAAAGCTAGAAACAGCTTTTCTCTTTATTTTTGATAACGTAAGTCGGAGAAATGAAAAATGTCTGGAACAGTCGGAGTGACCGTCTCCGTGAAAAAGGGGTACTCCCCGTGGTGAGGGGACAGGAGGTCACCATT